GAATTGGTGCATCTGTGGGTAATAGCAAGATCAAGTGTGTGACCATCTCTGTGTGGCTGAGGTGGAGTGGAAATTCATTGAAAATAGATGTTGATGGAATGGGAGGTTAGGATGTTTGAGGGAGTGTCAGTGTGTGCGTTAAAGTTCCCTAGTATGATGGCAGGAGTTGGGGAGGAGAGAAAGACCGTGAGCCAGGCACTGAATTCATTAAAAAAAGAAGCAGAGTGTCTTGGAAGTTGGTAACGAACAGCTACTAAAATTTGGATTGGGTGGCAGGTATCCTTGAGTGAACCTTAGAGGAGGAGAGGTTCCTGTGTGATGGGATAGAGGGAAAATATGGAAATGGCAGTGAGGAGCAAGGAGCAATCCAACCCCCCACCTCAATCAGTGAGCTGGGTGTATTAGTGAAAGTTCTGCAAAGGGAGATCCAAGAATCTGTGACATTGGGAGGGAGCCAGGTCTCAGTGAGAGCCAGAAGATGGAGTTAGGAATGAAAAGACTTAAGGTGAAAAGTTTGTTACCTATGGACCAGGCATATAGCACAGTGGAAGGGGCTTGGTTAGCTTTTGAGTGGGACCTTGAAGGGGCAGAGGGTAGAGGGGAGTGGGAGATGAAGAACAGGTTTGACCGACAGCTGAAGGTTCAGAATCCTTGGTATGGGGAAGGTAAGACCAGCTGGAAGTTTGTTAATCATTGAGGAATGAGTCCAGGTGGATTTTCATTGTCCATGTGTTGGGTCTTAGGGTGGAGCCCTCTTGGGGATTCATGCAGTTCAGGTGAGGGGATAGGTGCTTGAAGCTGAAGGAATAGTGTTACTCCCCTTCTCCCAAGGCATGAGACCAGGCTAGAAACATGATGGATTGGCCTTTTCCCTGACAGGGAGGAACCTGGTGCTTGAAGGAAGTGTGTTTGTCTTCTTCTGGAGAGAGGCAGGAGACCTGCTGTGATGGACTCACTCCTGTACCCCAGGTAGGCTGGAGCCAGCTCTATATAGTGGGCTAATTTTCACTCAAGTAACTAATCAACAACCACTACCACAAGATACACTTATTAAGTGCCTACTGTGCGCTAAGAGGCTCCAGTACAAATAAAAAGAATGAAGTGATCCTTACTCTCTAGGAGCTTATGTTCTAATGAGGGCAACAGTACAAACATCAGCCCAGAATAAATATAGGGTATACATACAAACAAATACCAGATCATTCGGGAGGACGGGCACTAGCAGTTGAGTGGGAGGGGCATCAGGTAAAAGATGATGCTGGAGCTTTGTCTTGAAGAGAGGAACTCTTGGAGGCACACGTGAGAGGATGGGGGCGAGGAGGGGTGCCCAGAGAGAGGAGGTTTCCAGCTAGTACAAAGGCGTGGAGGTGGGAGGTGGAGCATAAGATGTGTGGAGTGACAAATAGGCTGGCATAGCTGGATCACTGAGTGGAGCAGGAGGAATAATGTCCAGTGAGGCCAGAAAGAGAGATTTGAACCAGGTTTGTGACAAATGGACAGAGAGTCACTGGAGGGGGCTGAGCAGGGGAGTAACTTGGTAGGATCTGTGCTTAAGGAAAATCATTTTGGCAGCACCCCAGAGGATGTCCTGGGGTGGGGACACGAGTCCCCTGAGATCATCTCAGCAGCCGACGACAAAGGCCTGACCTCGTGCCTCGACTGTGTGAGTGGAGATAATGGAGCGATGGGGAGGCAGAATGGCGAGATTTGACAGCTGGTTGATTGGCTCACACATAACTGGCACATTGAGTGATAGAATCACATCCAAAAGGATCTTGGCCAGCGACGACGTTAGGCCGAATACAATAAGATGAAATTCCGTAGAACTAAAGTAATGAGTACAAAAACATCAACTCCACTAAGAAGATGAGGGAGGCATAGCTGGACAGAAGTCCTCCTAAAAAGGGTGGAGGGGTTTTAAAAAGCTCCTGCACTCTGGCTGACTCAGGAGGGAGGGGCTCCATTTCCAGCTAGAAGGGCAGTGGGTGATTGCCCTTCCCCCATGAATGTAGCTCATGAGATCCTGCGTAGCCCTCACCCTATCAGGTGCAGATTCTTTGTGCCACTTGTGTCTGTATCCCCAGGTTTAGCATAGAAGTGCCAAATTTAGTGCATAGTAAGCATTCAGTAAATGTCTGCTGCCCACCTGCTTCCTGCCTGTGGTTGAAACAGTCACTTAATAAAAGGCGTTAAACTAGGTGCAGACTGCCACTCATCACTTTGAATGGCTGGAGAGCATGACGAGTGGGGATGGGAAGCTGAAGAGACTTAGTCATACTCTAGGGTCTTTGGGTACCCCAGTGAGCCAGTTTGAGTGGGACATGCCGGGGTTGGGCTAGCTCAGTGGGGAGGCATTCTGGCCAAGCCCCCAACAGTGAATCCTTTGGGGATGTGGGCATGGGGAGAAGAGCCTTTGTCTCCTCCCCAACTCTTTGACCCAAGGATCACCTTTCAACCTCAGAGTGGTTAGAAGATTTTGGACCCCCCCTCCACGGGCCTCCTCACAGTGTCCCCGGGACAGCTGATGGCAGGGTCTTCATCGGGGCCCACAACAAACTGCACTTTGAGGAGAGCAGACAGCTACTCTGTGCCCAAGGGAAACATCGGGGCGGAGGAGGATGCCACAAAAGGAGGAAGGGACTTTGGTCAGCCAGGAAGTTCTGAGGATCCCTTTGCAGCTTGTGCTTTAAGCAGAAGCCCACTTTCCCGGATTCTAGAGGTGTCAGTGGGAGATTAAAGGCTTTTGGGGGGATGTTTGGTGCCAGCTGTTCATATTTTGGGACCCTAGTAAATATCAGCTTGAAAAAGCTGATGTCTTTTGATGATCATTGTGAGTCATAGTTCTAGAAAACTATCCCATAACACCCTCCCCCCAGAATTACCTCTAGATTCTAAGGAAAGTAGTAGTAGTAGAAACAGCAGCAGCAGAGGCTGTGCTAGTTGTAGTTGTAGTAGTAGTGGCAGTAATAGAAGATATTTTGGGACCTGGCCTGACCTAGTCCTCGGAAGGTTAGGAGAATTGGCTCTAGTGCATGTGCTTCTGGAGTATTCCATTTGGTTTTGGGCACCACAATTTCAAAAGGACATCCATAAGCTGAAAAGTGTCTAAAGATGGATAATGAGACTGGTAAAGGGCCTCAAGCTCATGATGTCTGAGGATCGGGTGGAGGAGCTGGGCATGTTTAACTTGGAGAAGAGAAGATGCAGGGACAACACGGCGGTTGTCATCAAGTACTTGAAGATCCGTCATATGGAGAATGCCTTATGCGTGTTCTGCTGAGCCCCACAAGAATGAACCATGAGCAATGGAGTCAGAGTCGCAAAGGGCCAGATTTCTGCTTGTTATCAGGAAAAGCTGAGAGCTTCACCAAAGTGCAGTGGGCCATGCTGGGAAGCGGGGGAGAAACTGAACAGATGCAGGGATTAAGTATGTAGTGGAGGTTCTGCCATGCTATACCGGATGGCCGTTGTGGTCCCTGTGTCCGAGAAGTGGAGATGACATGGAGGGTGAACTCGGAGAGTAGGAGCCTGCTGCAGAACTCGGCATCTCTATGGTCCCCTTCCAATGCCAACATCCTGCACTTTGGTGATTCTTGCTGGGGAAGAGGGTACTGAACCCTTGTCCAGCTGTTGACAAAGGTGTGCAGGGAAGAACCCTGATGAAATCTCACATCCCGGCAGGATGAGAGATGTTTCATTTTTTCTAATTATAGCTGGTATTTCTATATATTGTGTCATGTGATCAGCATTAACCCCCAGAATTAGGTAGTGATGGAATTAATAGCCCCATTTTTCAGAGTTGGAAACTGAAACTTGGAGAAGGTTAAATGCCATTGTCGCCAAAGTGTTGGAGGTGCGATTCAAACTCAGGTTCTGCATCTATCACCTAGGCGCTCTGTTGTGGAGACTTACTATTTCACTCTCTGAGAGAAAGATGGGGTTTATGGGGGCTGAGTTTATTGAGGCCTGGAGAGAGTTTCCTTTCCTGTACCATTATGAAATAGCAGTGAGTCCACTGACCATTGACTTCATATGTGCCCAGGAGAGGGGTCAGGCAAAGTGCTGGGAGCAGTGTGGGTAGAAGGCCATATTGAGCATGGAGCTTGGGGAGACATTCTGGGAGGCTGGGAGGAAGAGGTTTTGACTGGGGGAGGACGGTGCGTACCTAAGGGGGATGCATACGGGATAAAGCTGGAAAGATGCATTGGAGCTCAGCCCAAGAGGGAGCTGGGCAGTGACTGAAAACCATTAGCTATACCCAAAGTGGTCATCATCACAATTAGAGGAAGAGGCTGTAGCCATTCATTCACCAACTACGTGCACTCTGGATTATTGTGTTTGTGGGAGATGCTGAGTGTTGACAAGGCAGGGTCCTTGCTCTTGTGAAGATTACACTTAGGGGCCAAGACATAAATGTGTCACATCATTTAGAATATTAGATGAAAAGTGAGCTTGTACGTGGGAAGTGTGTGTGAGGCATCGGGGCTGGCTGCCTGGAGGAAGTGGCCTAGGAGCTGGGCCTTCTAGGATAGGTGGGAGGGGAGCCTTGGTGGCTGGGGTCCCCTTTGCTGTGTCAGGTGCTACCTCAGTCAGCTAGGGGCGATGGCACCAGACGGTGGGAATCGTGGGCTGCTGGGGATGTCCTCCACCTGTCTGAACCTCAATGCCGGAAGTTCCCCAGACACTCTCCTCACATACTTGACTGTAAGGAAACACTAAAAATGGATGGCAGCAGAGTGTGTTGAATTGGAAAAAACCAGACCTTTAATTGTTTTCCCCAAGCCATGGAATCATCTGTAATCAAGCACTCATCTGGGCCATTGTGGTCTGGCTGACATTTTGACTCAGAAAAGTTCTGCCTTTTCCAGTGATCTCAAAAAAAGGCTGAAGTGAACAAAGGGAAGGAATTTGCATTTAGGCCGCATTTTGTAGCTTTGATATCTTTATCTTGTAAAGAACCCCATGTTGAGAAATTACCTTTTGTTTTCTCATCTGCTCAGGGACTTGCTCCAAAGCTGGAATTTTCTACCACCTCTGTGATCACAGAATGCCTAATCAGCACAAGGAGGTGTCGGGGCTTCCAGGTAACGGCTCTAAGTTTAAAAGCTGCTATGGCTCCATGCGTCCGTCTGTGTGTCTGCTTCTCTTCCTACTGACAGATCTCCTGCCTCTTACTGGTTTGCCCCCTACTGGCTTCCCACTTCTGGCATTTCTTTGGGTAAAACAGTTGTTGTGGATTTCTGACAACTTGATTCAATTTAATCAAATGTGATTGAAATAAAACCTTGCTGCTCAGTGGGAGGTAACAGGGAGGGCTCCTTTCTTAGGAATCAGCTGGTGGCTGCCCAGATGAGGAGGAAGAGGAAGTGGGCATCTTCTCCATCGTTATTCTACCTTGTGCAGCTAGCAGGCTGTCCCAGAGAAAGACTACGTTAAGAGAGCCCATGCTTAGAGCTTCGAGGTTTGGAAAGGGCTTTCTTCACAGCATCTCTGTGAGGTAGGGAACACAGAGAAGCTGAAAGGGACCTTGGGGATGGTTTAGTCCAAAAGATTCTCATAGAAGATGGGATTTTAGCTGAAGCTTGAAGGAAGCCAGGGAAGCCAGATGAGAGAGAGCATTCCTGACAGAGGGCACAGCCAGAGAAAGGGGCCAGAGTCAGGAGATGGAGGGTCTTGTTTGAGAAACAACCAGGAGGCCAGTGTCACTGGATTGAAGAGTATGTGGTAGAGAGTGAGGTGCCAGAAGACTGCCAAGGTAGGAGGAGGCCAGGCTGGGAAGGCCAAACAGGCATTTTCGTATTCGACTCTGGAGATGTTAGGGAGCCATTGGAGGAAGAGACATAATCAGACCTATGCTTTAGGAAGGTCACTTTGACAGCTGAGTGTCTATGACGACTAACTAGCATTGATGTGAGGTTTGCAAGTGCTTTACAGATATCATCTCATTCTGTGGAGGCAGGTGTTATTATTGTCATCCCAGTTTAACTGAGGCACAGAGAGGGTCTAGGAATCGTCTGTGGCTGGATTTGAACTCAGGTCTTCCTGGTTCCAGAGCCAGCACTTTATCCACTGCTAGGAGCACTTACAATGAAGGGGGACAGGAAAGGATTGCTGTAGGCTTTGGCAGCTGACCTAGTCTGTCAGGAAGTAGAAGACCCTCAGGGGCTGAGGGGAGGAAGGAGGGAGCACCTCGGGCATGGGGACCAGCTCGGACCAGAGCCCAGAGCCTCAGGTGGAACGTCCAGGCTGAGGAGCAGTGAGAGGGCCAGAAGCTCTCAGGCCTTCAGTGCAGCCTGAGCAGGGTTTATTAGAGGCTCCCCCAGGCTGACCTCTGGGCTTGGGAGGGCCTTGGCACCTTCTGGGTGACACAGAAAAATGCTTTGTAAACCTTGGAAGGCGATGGTGTCAGAATAGGATCCATGTTCAACTGACGTGGGTGAAGGAAAGCCTTGATGTGGGCTCATGTAAATGACTTGCTTTTCTTTCCTCTGAGGGGCCTTATCCATCCCGTGGTCCAAGGCCCTCCTTTTACAGTTGAAGGAACTGAGCCCTAGAGGGAGAAGTGACTTTGAATTCGGTCCAACTCCTATATGTAGGGACCTGGGCTCCATGCTGGGAGCCCAGAGGTGGGAAAAACAGTAATCCCTGCCCTCCGGGACCTCACAGTCTAGAGCTGAGGCTCTTAACTTTTTTGGTGCCATGGACCCTTTGGTAGTCTGGCGAAACCTCTGGACCCCTTCTCAGAATGCATGTTTTTAAAGATAATGGAAGAAAATGCTAAATTTTAGGAAGAGGCTAGTGAAAATAAAATAAACATGGGATTTATTTTCCATCTAAATTCCTAGACTCCCTGAAATCTACCCACAGTTCCAGGTTACAAACTCCTTGTCTAGTGGGAGTGGGGTGGAGAGGGATAAGATTTCCAGGAAACCACAAAGAACATTGAACAAGTCCTACTAATGTCCTCATGTGGCTCTGGGCTTGCCAGTGCTTTGTTAGTGGTCTGACCAGAAGGAAAGACTGAGCATGGTTCTCGAGCTCACGGGGCCCGGAGTCGTAGAGAGCCTCCTCCCCAGGCTGGCCATAGGCTTAGGAACTGGACAGCTTGAGTGTCTCTCAGGGGCCTCGTTTGGTCCACCGAGGGCTGCATTCTGCCTTAGTTCCCCAGTAGCCGAATAATGAGGCGACGCTCCAGAGAGAAAAGGGATCCCTCCGTCACCATCACGAGGTGACCCCCATTGTCTTTTTCAGGCTCAGGATAAACTGTCATACCATGCCACCCCCCTTGAAAGGACCCATGGTCGGATGCAAATCAGAGGGCCAACAAGGTCATCTAAGAAGAAATCCAGGTCCCCCGAGAGACAGAAGTATTGCACCAACCCACGGAACTATGAGCAGCCCACCATCTCGTCCAAGACCCACTCCCCATCCCCGTACACCAAGAGGCGGATGTGCGAGCTGTCGGAGGACACCAGGCAGCGGTTGGCTCATCTCAACCTGGGACCCTATGAGTTCAAAAAGGACACTGATAAGCCTCCATTTGTCCTCAGACGTGTAGGTGTCCTCTTGGGCCTGGGCCACTTTTATCCCCTAGTTTACAGGAATACATCTTCTGCCCCAAGCCCCTGTGCCCCATGCCCAGCTATCTCCAGTGGAAAGTCATTAGAGCAAGCACATCTTCTGCCTGCCTCGGTGACTGGCAGAGTTAGTGATACCATGGTTAGTCGTCTCTGTCCACTTACTCCTTGTCTCTTGGCACAGAGGGCAACCTAACTCGTCTCTGGAGCAATGACATTAGTATTCACAAGAGCTGAGAAAGACAGGGAAGGAGCTCCTCATGGAAAGTAAGTTGTCTTGGACAGGCTCTGAAGGGATAAGGGGCCTTGACAGCGGAATGAATCTAGGAGGACTTTGGAGAAGGCCCCTGGAGAAGGAGAGAATGCCCCCCAACAGCCCAGGTCGTGCTCATTTAAGTCCTTTTCACATGAAAGAAGAATTCATTTAAACGATTCTTACTACAGCCCCAGACCCTGGCATTGTTAAGGAGCAGCAGTGTTTTTCCTGGTGAAGTCAAAGGCTCCTGCCTTCTTGGGGATCAGTGAAGCCTTGGATGGCAGTTAGCCATTTACAGATCACCTTTTCCTGATCTTTATGTAGGCAGCTCACTCTTCATCTGGTATTGGTGCTGTCAAAACCCAGAACACCTTCCCCAGTGCCCTCTTGCTCTCTATCTCTTGGACAGCCATCACACGGCTGGGTCCAGTAGCCACTGACCGTTCTTGCCTCCCTCTCTTTGTCTCAGCTGCTCGTCCTACCTTTACCTTGTCCTGATCTGTGCAAGGGCGCTAAAAGCATAATCTGCCTCATTTAAAATGCTAATGAGTGATTCTGGGCTCTGCCCCATCTCTGTAAAATGACCATGGTGGTACTTGGCTGCCTCCCTGACTGGCAGGCACTTTTAAAATGTCTTTAACTTTAATAGCTGTCCACAGTTGGGCATTTTGTGTCTGGCATTAAATTGCAAGTAGAGATCACACTCAAATCTAACTTTTAATTGGAAGGAATAGAAGCACATTTAATTAAAATGTCTGAGTGGGGGAAGATAATAATCAGAATTATTTTTGGTTAAGCATTAGCCACCTAAATATTGTTCAGGGAAATAGGGCTTTTAAAGTGCCTTTGCTTTAATATTCTCTAATTTTTCACTTTGCTGCTTGACATGGAATTATTTTAATATAGCTCAATACAGGCAGTTTTAAAAATTATTTTTACCCAACCCATTTTTCTTTCTAGCTCACTTGGACAATAATATAATCACACCCAATTCATGTTACAAATACTCATCTAAAAAATAATCCTACCTTATATAGCAGTTCACAGTTGACTAAATTTAGATATTATCACATTTGAACCTTTCTTAGTCCTATGAAAGTATTCTTTTATGTCAAGTATGGAGGGCTTTCCTATACATCTTTATTATAATAGTACTAACTCACATTTCCGTCATGCCTTCAGGCTCACTGAAGGCTTTCCTGATGGCCACTTAGCTTTGGTGGTGATGAGAGCTGACATTCATCACTTCAAAGTTTGCAAAGTGATTTAAATACACTCTCTGTAGAATGAGGAGCTTATGCTGGGTGATATCTTGGATACTCTAATCTCCTTGGAGCCTCGCGTTTAACCTTGTGAGGTGGGTCTAATGGACATTATGAATCCCACTTTACAGATGAGAAAACTGGGGCTCAGAAGATTAAAGCAGGTAGAACCCCCAAGTCCCACACTGCCCACTCTGCCATGGGTAGTATGTAGGTTAGGATCCCTTTGGCACAGAGGAGGAAACTGAGGTCTGGACAGATGAAATCCAACCCAGTTACACACAGTTAATAAATGACAGTGTTGAGGGTGGGATTCAGGCTCCTGATTTTTAGACCATCGCCTTGTATTTTTTTGAGCTGTAGTCACACTCTTCTTCTGCCATGAGTTTCGATTCCTTCATTAGAGTTCGGTTGAACATTATTTTTTGTCTCATTTCTATTCAGTTCAACAGATATGTATTTAATAGGACTCCAGATGTAGAGCTCGAAGAGCCCTCAGGGTCTAGACCCCTCGTTTTACAAGAAAAGAAACTGAGGCCCACAGAAGTTAGGTGACTGTCCCAAGGTCTCACAGGTAGTCAAGGTCAGAGATGGGGTTCAAAATCTGACCCTCTGACTCCAGAATCCGTATTCTTTAGGCCACCTTAGAGCCTGCTAGGGAGCAGGGCTTTTGCTTTCAGCTTCCAGGCAGCGTGTTTTAGTGGAGAGGGTGTCAGACCTGGCTCCAATAGTTTCCAGCTGTGTTATTAGCAGAGATGTGTCTCTGACCTGCAAAATGGGGCTATCATCCTTGAACCCCCACATCCCTGGTGGTTGTGAAGAATAGGCACTGCTCTCCTTAATGTGTGGTAGGAATGGAAATTACAAGTAGTGTGTCTTGGCCAGATGAGACCCTGGGCTCAGTCAGTGGAGGGCAGGGAGTCCTCTAGTTGCAGCTTGTGAGCTGAGGAGAAGAGCCCCGGGGTGACCTGTTATAATCCCTTAGCCTTTAAGAAAGTTCCCGTTACCCCCAGGTTTGCCTGTCCTTGTAATTTTGTACCTGAGCTTCTATTCCCATGATTCCTTCTAGCAGGCACTGATTTACTACTGCTGTCAGCTTGGATTTTCATTGCCATGCTTTTTCTTTAAACAACAAGATAAGCAAAGAGAACCAGAGGGGAGTGCTGGCCAGGGTTAGGGGACAGCTTTGAACAGGGGATGTACATGAAACTAGATCCACTGCAGCCCCGGCTGTCAGGGACCAGCCCAGAAGACCCTGGTCCACTGGGCCTCCATGAGGCACTCTAGGTGATTTAAAAATAGTTTTTATTGGTAGCTTTTGTTATTTGCATCACTACCAGAATTCACCCCAGTATTTTTCCTCTCAGAGAGCCATCTCACATGATGAGTGATATTTTTAAGGAAAAAAATCAGCAAAACAAGTCCATACATGGCAAAAGTCCAGAAATATATGCAGTATTTCATGCCCATGGACCTCTCCTGTCATCGGAGGAGTCGGGTGGGAATGTCTTCTCTACCTGTTCTTGGGGCCAGGCTTTTCTCTTATTATGCGTGATATTCTTTCATATGGTTGTTAATAGTTAGCCTTCGACCATTTATTTATTGGAGAATGACTTTGTATCATTCGTGTGTGCATAAATTAGTTGTCTGTATAGTTTGGATACCAACCCTTATCTGAGAAATTTGATAGAAAGATTTTCCCTCCATGTTTAACTGCTTCCCTCCTTATAATAACTGCACTGATTTTGTTTGTATAGAATCTTTTCAGTTTTATGTAATCATTGTTACATATTTTCATTTGTAATTGTCTATATCGCTTCTTTTGTAAAGAATCCATCTACTACTCATACCTGTGGCAGTCACATGATTTGTTTCTCTTTTAATATTTATGGCACTATCTCTCATATTAAGATCACATGTCCATTTCTGTGTATTGTGGAATATGACCTCTGGTGCTGGTCTCAGCCTAGTTTCTGCCAGACTGCTTCCCAGTATTTTTCCCCCAGCATTTAGGGAGCTCTTTGTTATGAAATTCATGTTTTCTGCTGTACTGCATGCTGGCTTTATTGAGCTCTGTCTGTGCTCTTGACTGCCCCTTGCCTAGCCTGTCCTGTTAATGTGCCTCTATGTCTTTGACCAGTGCTAGATAGCTTTGATGACTGCTGTTTCACTGTTTCTCATGCGGTTCTAACATCTGAATTCTGCTCCTTGTAGGCTGACCCCTCAAGCCCCAAGCCTGAAGTTCTTCTTGGACCTAGTGGCAGAGAACCTTCAAGAGAAGGATGGTGCAAGTTGCACAACGGTGAGCTGGGGCGTGTGTGTGCGTGTGTGCACGCCCTTTCTGTTGGAGGGCAGGGGAGGATTGTGCTTACCCAAGCCAGGATCACATAACTAGGAGTTCAGGCCAGGCCAGGCCAGCAAGCATTTACTAAGTGCCTGCTGTTTGAAAAGTTGATATCAAACCTGTGTCTTCCTAAAGTCCAGCACTAACCACTTCACCACACTGTATCACTAGTAAGAGTGGGTCCTTCCTGTGGCTGCCTGGTTCCTTTCCGTTCTGCTCCCTGGCCTGGAAGGACCAGTGTTTCTGTGCCACAGGGGCCGGTGCATTTACCAGTGGGAGGAACAAAGAGCTGGGGTCAGAGGTCAATGGGTATCTTCTCAGGCACCCTCTCTGTGCATATGATAGTAATGCCTGCCACTTCCCCCCTTCTGTAGCTTAGAAAACTTTCTCCTCACCACCAGCTTGTGGGGAAGGTCCTCCAAGTTTTCATGTCCTTGTTGAATAGAGGGCCTACCATTGTAACATTCAGAGGTGAAAGGAGATTTGAGCCAACTCCCTCATTTGACCAATGGCAAAAACAAGCCACAGAGATCTTGTCTATTCATGTTGGTTGGCCACAGAAGAGCCAGTGGCAAGCCTCAAACTCACACCTAGTCCTTGGCTGCACGCTGGCCTGTGTCAGACACTCTACCTTTGTTGTGTCCTCAGCTGACACGTACTGTAGTTGTTCCACCCCTTCATCGATGCTCTTTCACAGGGACCGTGGTCAAAGAAGTTCATCTCTCCCCTCTTGGCTTCACTTGGCCCCAGGACGAGAACAGCAAGAGAAATTCATTGTGTTGCCAAGCCTTTGCTGCCGGGTGGGGCCTGCCAGAGCTTGGGAGCCATTGCCACATGTACCAAGAAGTGAGGGTCATACACATTACTCTACAGCATTGAAGGAAGTTGGAGGATTAGTGGAGGGTGAATTACTTTTGATCAATTAACGCTTGAATTTCATTTGAAAGTGTGTGTGTGTTCATTTGGAATTGAAACTCTTGTCTTTAGTGAACTCATTGGGGACTTTATATCTCATCGGCTGTGCCAGCCAAGTGGAAGCATAGGCAAGTCCTGGGAAAACTCCGAATTGGGTCTCAGTCACAGATTGTGCCTGCTTCCTAAGGACAGCCTAGCTGGGTTCAGAAAGGCTCGTTACCACATTCTGGGTCAGAGAAACGCAAGTGACAAATGGCCCACAGTCCTCTTTCACGTCTATTGCAGTGGAAGAAAAGTGGCTGAGAATGATGACATAGTGTTTAGACCATCGATCAACATTAACTGAGGCCTTGTCCAGTGACCAGTAAGTAGCCATTCTCCTGGAGGAACTGACTCATATCTGTCTTGACATTCACATTATCAATGAAGGCAGAAGGCAGTTACAGGGTAATGGAAGGGTAGTTCTTGTTCTGGAGAAGAATGTGAAAAAAATGTGTTGTTGGAATGGGTTCTGCTCTGTGTCCAAAACAACAAGAAACATAATTTCATGGGATACTTGGTTAGCCTGGCATGCGGTGCTTTTGATATTGAAAGGCCTTCATGACCTAGGTCCCTTTGACATTTCCTATTTTCTTATACCTTACTCCCAGACACATCCTCTTTGATCCAGGGTCACTCTCTTCCTGGCTGTTCCTCAGACAAGACATTCCATCTCCTGACTCTGGGCATTTTCACTGACTGTCCTTGTGTCTGGAATGTCCTCTGCCTCCTGACTTCCCTAGCTTCAACTAAAGCCTTTCCTCCATAGTGCTTTCTGCTGTTGTTTTCTTCAGTTTATCCTGACCACAGCTGTTTGTACATAGATGTTTGTATTTCATCCCCCATTAGACTGTGAGCTCCTTGAGGGCAGGGGCTGACATTTGCCTTCCTTTTTTTTCTTCAGCAAAGATAAAGGCCAAAAAAGATGAGCAAACCACAACAACAACAACAAAAAGGATGTGACCATGGAAAGTTATTCTAGTGACAGAGAAGATTAAGACACAAACTCAGAAGAGGACAACAATGTCAAAACACCCATGGGCAAAGCCCCAAAGAAAAACGGGAAGTGGTCTGAAGCCCAGAAAGAACTCATGGAAGAGGTCAAGAGGGAGTTTTAAAATGATATAAGAGAGAAAGAAGAAAAATCGGAAAAAGAAATGAGTCATGCAAGATAATTACGAAAAAAGAGTCAGTAGCTTGGAAAAAGAAAACAACTACTTAAAAAGTAGAATTGGCAAGATGGAAAAGGAGGTACAAAAATCCACTGAAGAAAACAACTCCTTAAAAAGTTCATTTGGCCAAATGGAAAAGGAAGTACAAAAGTTAACTGAGGAAAACAACTCCTTAAAAGTTGGAGCCCCTCACACACAGGGTAAAGGGAAAAGGCTAGAGCAGAATATATTGTGCTTCAGCTGAAATTAAACAAGCAAGGGTAGCAATCCTGATCTCATACAAAGGAAAAGCAAAAATAGACCTAATTAAAAGAAATAAGGAAGGAAACTACATCCTGCTAGAAGGCACCATAGACAATGAAGTAATATCATTACTAAACATATATACACCAAATGGCATAGCATCCAAATTCTTAAAGGAGAAGTTAAGTGAGTTACAAGAAGAAATAGACAGCAAAACTATACTAATGGGGGACCTCACATGTCCCCTTTTAGAACTTGATAAATCCAACCAAAAAAGAAACAAAAAAGAAACTAAGGAGGTGAATAGAATATTAGAAAAGTTAGATATTACAGACCTTTGGAGAAAACTGAATAGCAACAGAAAGGAATATACCTTTTTCTCAGCAGCACATAGTACCTACACAAAATTGACTAACTATTACGGCATAAAAACCTCAAAATTCAATGTAGATGTATGCTTTTTGGATCATAATGCAATAAAAAATTACATTCAACAACAGGCAGTGGAAAGATGGGTTAAAAATTATTTGGGAACTAATCCTAAAGGATAAGTGGGTCAGAGAACAAATCATAGAAAAAAATTAATTAAAGAGAATGACAACAATGAGACAACTTCCAAAAATTTGTGGGATGCAGCCAAAGCAGTACTTAGGGGAAATTTTATTTTTCTGAATTCTTACATCAACAAAATAGAGAAAGAGCAGATCAGTGAATTGGGCATGCAACTAAACTAGAAAAAGAACAAACTAAAAATCCCCAATTGAGCACCAAATTGGAAATCCTGAAAACCAAAGGTGAGATTAATAAAATTGAAAGGAAAAAAAAACTATTGAACTAATAAATAAAATGAGGAGCTGACTTTATGAAAAAACCTACAAGATAGATACCATTGGTTAATTTGATTTAAAAAAAAAAGAAAGAAGAAAACCAAATCTCCAGTATCAAAACTGAAAAGGGTGAAATCACCACCAGTGAAGGAGACATTAAAGCAATTATTAGGAAATATTTTGCCCAATTATATGCCAATAAATCTGACAATCTGAGCAAAATTGATGAATATTTACAAAAATATAAATTACCTAGATTAACAGATCAGAAAATAGAGTGCCTAAATAACCCCATCTTAGAAAAAAAAAATTAACAACCATTAATGAACTCCCTAAGAAAAAATCCAGAGGGCCAGATGGGTTGACAAGAGAATTCTATCAAGCAATTAATTCCACTCCTACATAAACTATTTGGAAAAATAGGCTAACTCCTTTTATGACACAAATATGGTACTGATACCTAAACCAGGAAGAGCTAAAACAGAAGAAAAAAATTATAGACCAATTTCCCTAATGAATATCAATGCAAAAATTTTGAACAAAATACTAACAAGGTAATTACAGCAATATATCACAAGGATTATATACTATGACCAGGTGGGATTTATACCAGGAATGCAGGATTGGTTCAATATTAGGAAAATTATCAAAATAACTGACCATACCAGTAACAAAACCAACAGAAATCATATGATTATCAAAATAGATGCTGAAAAACCTTTTGACAAAATACAGTGCCCATTTCTATTTTTTTTATTAATTTAGTTTGATTTATCAACAATCACTTCCATAAGCTTTTGAGTTTTAAATTTTTCTCCCCTTTCTTCCCCACCTCCCTCCCCAAGATGGTGCACAGTCTGATATAGGCTATACACATATATTCCTATTAAACATATTTTCACATTTGTCGTGTTGTAAGGAAGAATTAAAACCAATAGGAGGAGCCGCAAGAAAGAGAAAACAAAACAAAACAGAAGAAAAAAATAGCAAATAGTATGCTTCGATCTGTTTTCAAACTCCATAGTTCTTTCTTTGGATGTGGATAGCATTTTCTATCATGAGACCTTTGAAGATGTCTTAGATCCTTACATTGCTGAGAAGGGCTCAGTCTATCAAAATTAGTCATCGCATAATGTTACTGTGTACAATGTTCTCCTGGTTCTGCTCACTTCAATCAGCATCAGACCATACAAGTCTTTCTAGGTTTTTCTGAAGTCTACCTGGTCATCATTTCTTAAAGCACAGTAGTATTCCATTACATTCATATACCACAACTTGTTCAGCCATTCCTCAATTGATGAGCATCCTCTCAATTTCTAATTCTTTGCCACCACAAAAAGAACTGCTATAAATGTTTTTGTACATGTGGGTCCTTTTCCTATTTGTATGATCTCTCTGGGATATAGCCCTAGAAGTGCTATTGCTGGGTCAAAGAGTATGCACATTTTTTATTGTCCTTTGGGCATAATTCCAAACTGCTCTCCAAAATGGTTGGATCATTTCACAACTCCACCAACAATGCATTAGTGTTCCAATTTTCCCACATCTTCTCCAACATTTATCATTTTTCTGTTTTGTCATGTTGGCCAATCTACTCATTTCTATTGAAAACACTTGAGAGCATTCCTTAGAGAACGAGTGTCACATTATTATGGTTCCCATTTTATTGATGGAGAAGCATTGAAGGAGATGCTGTCATGAAGAAAGATCTGTGGGGAGAGGATTCTGGGAAGATGGCAGAGTAGGTCAGAAAATTTCAAGC